TAGTACTCCATTGTGTAAATGTACCACATTTTCTCTATCCATTCTTTAGTTGAGGGGCATCTAGGTTGCTTCCAGGTTCTGGCTATTACAAACAATGCTGCTATGAACATGATTGAACAGAAGTCCTTGTTGTATGAACGTGCATTATTTGGGTATATACCCGAGAGAGGAATGGCTGGATCTTGGGGGGGGGCGTCAGGCATAAGCAAGCAGGTGTTGATGGAGGAGGTTGGGGGCAGGCAGACTCACCTGAGGCTCGGGCACCCGCCACAGGACCAACAGTCTTCCTTTTTATATAAATCTGTTTAATCATTCCTAAGATGAATGAATCCATGGCTTCCTGAATCTGACAGCACATTTGCTCCCTGCTTATATACCAATGGCATCATCATCATCATTATTGTTATAATTTAGGGCATCATAGGGCCATTCTTGTGCAAGTGTGTAGTGTACTCTGGGTACATTCACCCGGTGTTATTCTTTGTCTATATCTAACTTCCTACAGACCAGCAATGTGCTGATTAGGTCTTTGTCAATTTGACTCAAGCTAGAGTCATCTGGGAAGAGAAATCCTCAGGTGAGGAACTGCCCCCATCAGATTGGCCTGTAGGTAAGTCTGTAAGGCATTTTCTAGAAGGATGGTTGATGTGGGAAGACCCAGCCCACTCTAGATGGTTCCACCCCTGGTCCGGTGGTCCTGGGGCATATACGAAAGCAAACCGAGCAAGCCTTGAGGAGCAAGCTGGTATGTAAAGTTCCACAACAGTTCCTTGTAGCCTCTGCATCAGCTCCTGCCTCCCGGCTCCTGTCCTGAGTTCCGGCCCTGACTTCCCTCAGTGATGGAGTGTGATCTGTGAGTCTCTCCTCTCCAAGTTGCTCTTGGTCATTGTCATTGCTGTGAAGAGATGCCGTGACCAGGCAACTCTTTATGAAAGAAAGCATTTAACCGGGGGCTGCCTTACGGTTTCAGAGGCTTAGTCATGGCAGAGAGCATGGCAGCCACCTTGGTGCTGGAGAAGCAGCTGAGAGATACATCCTGGTCTGCAAGCCTCAAGAGGGAGACCTCACAGCCCATCCCAGTGACACACTTCCCCCAACAAGGTGCCACTTCCTGGTGACTAAGCATTGAAGTTCATGTGCCTATGGGGGACATTCTTATTCTAACCACCAGAGTCTTTACCACAGCAACACAGAAGCAAACTGGGACAACCAGAGTTTTGGGTTTGTGTATTTTTTTTTCTCAAGACAGGGTTTCTCTGTGTAGCCTGGCTGTCCTGGAACTCACTCTGTACACCAGGCTGGTCTCTAATTCACAGAGATCC